CCCAACAAACTGAAATAAAAAAAAATAACACAATGCCTTCTACATGGAGGTGTTCTCCTCTCTATGGGGGTGTGTTACATAAGGGTGAACAGATGATGGAGGGTGAGATAAACACTCGTCCCAGGGGAAGTGTGGTCTCATATGGCCACTGTATGGGCTCCTCAAATCATCCGTCTGCTCCTCCTCTAAAATGCACTTCTTAAAATGGTTATGTGATAAATGACTGACAGTCACTGTAACGATGATGTATTAATGAAACCGAGAGGCTGAAAAGCACATTTTAGGATGGAAGGTGACAGAGTTGGCAGCTTTACTTCTCTGCCCATCTCTCCCCTTTCTTGCTACTTTCTATTGTCGCACGAAGCTACAGATGCACTTCATTTATTTGTTTATTTTGGCTCTTCTCTTTTCCACATTATTTGTGTTTTTCCACCACCTTTGATGCATCTCTACAATCCTCTCGGTCTAATCCTTTGGGCTAACAAGGCCCAGTGTTTGCGTCTGAATGGCTCAACATCTGTGCTGAATCAGAGGATTTAAGAATGGTTTTAAGATCTGAGTTTAAAACCACCGCACACACATAAATATTAAACACTAAACACAATCTGTGAAAATGCTATGCATGAGACTGCTGCAGTTTGGCATGGATAAATATTAGCTATTTATTCACAAAGTTTCATTTAGGCTATTTTATAACTTTAGCGGTAACAAAGATTTTATAATGTAAATGGTTATGTGCATTCAGCTAATGTATGTTGCTTTTTTTATTGATTTTTTATTCATGCATTTATTCTGTTTTTTAATATTTGTGTAGGCCAAACAGATGATTCATTTGTTCATTTTCTTTTCAGCTTATTCCCTTTATTAATCTGGGGTTGCCATAGCGGGATGAACCACCAACTTATCCAGCATATGTTTTTATTTATGCAGCGAGTGCTCTTCCAGCTGCAACCCATCACTGGGATACAACCATACACACTCATACACTACAGACAATTTAGCTTACCCAATTCACATGTACCGCATTTGGACTTGTGGGGGAAACCAGAGCACCCGGAGGAGAACATGCAAACTCCACACAGAAACTTCAACTGACTCAGTTGAGGCTCAAACCAGTGACCTTCTTGCTGTGAAGCGACAGCCCTATCTATTGTGCCACCGCGTCACCCCAAACAAATCATATAGAAAGCTTTAAGTGTTTAAACAAAATGTAGGAAGTTGAACATGCAGTTTGACACATTTTATGAAGGCCAAATTTGTCGTTTGATTGACATACAGGGCAGCCAGTCTGATATCTGACCTTTTCTGACACACATGGGTAACCACTCATGCACGTAAAACCACGCCAACTTCGTTAAGTGCTGCAAAACTAGTTTTGAACCACTAAGCGAAGTTGGCCCGGTCAAGTCTGAATATCGTTCCATGCACCATGACTGAATTTGGTAGTGAGCTTAAATCATGGCTATCAGCAGCTACTGTCTAGACTTTGCTTCCCTGGCTGATTCCATTCAGTGCAAGTCATTAGAGTAAGGTAATGACAACATGTACAGAGTTGTAGTCATAGACATTATATAATATAGCGATCATCAATATATAATGTACAAATACTGAATTCTCAATATGTTTATAAATAAATATATGTTTTGCATTTTTATATTATCATTTTGACTTGGTTATTTTATGCTGAAAAGGTGTGGGCACCCCTGATGTAGGCAGTCATTTTTATGGAGGACAATGTGTGATTTTTACATGCACATGTGCCAGATTGATGCTTGTGTTCATATATCCCATATCTCTCATGTGCAGATGTAATTTTAAATACAGCAATTTCATTGGCTGTTGAGTTTGACACATTGACACAATCAAAACCTGAGTGCTTGTTTAAAGATTTTTGTCCCTGCACTGTAAAAAATCAGAGTTGCCTTACATTTTTTAAGCTGAATTGAATTAAACTTATGAGTCCATTGAACTTATATTATCTTAAACTGACTTAAAACAGCTTGTGTAACTTATGAAATTAAGTTAGGACTTGATTAACTTAGTTTATTAAGTTACAATTAACTAAAAACACATGCAATCATGACAAATTGATCATACAAATTGTTTACAGTGTGATTGCTTTCCATTTGACCAAATTACTTTAAACAAAAATGTGACATTTAAGTTTGTCAACATGCAAAGTTAAAGAAATATTTCAGCAACAAAATATGAAAATTTACTCACTAATTACTCTCCCTTAAATGGTTCCAAACCTTTACTTTTTTCTGTTTATGACAAAGGCTGAAAATATGTAACCATTATTAAAAACAACTAGAAGCCAAGTTACAGCATTCTGAAATAACTTGTTTGTGTTTAAAATACAAATTTAAGTTAAAAAGTTTTGGAACAGGTGAAGGGTGAGTAAATTATCATTATAATTTTTGGATGAACGATATGCCTTTAATCCTTCAACAAGCACAACAGTCAATAGAATTGCTATGTTTTAGACATTTGTAAGCAATGGTGCATTGGGATATATGCAGTGGTGGAAAGAGTACTGAAAAATCATTCGCACTTGCCCCCTAAAAATGTAGTGCAAGTAAAGTAAAATTATCTGTTGTAAATACTACTCAAAGTATAAGTAAAAAAGTAGCCCTTTTCAAAGTAATTTGTGCATGTTTGTGTAGACGTAACATTCTGTAGTGCACTTATTATTGTTATTTCGGTCATCATACAGTAAACATCCCTCGTCCTCTCATCAGTGACATTTAGTCTAAACAGTCTCTGAGTCAATGCGTCAAGTATCTTCATGGACACTTTTAATGCTTCCAAATCCAAACAGTTTGTTGCATGTCTTATTGTAGTTCAATATGATACAATTTACTTTCTATGTGCGATTTGACTGGAATCAAAGGACTGATTCTAATCCCCTAGAAAGGAAATATTAAAGTAGTGACTGCAGATTGAAGAAAAGCAGTGGAGTAAAAGCACTGATACAACACTAATGCACAATGGAAAGTAAAGTTCACATTTTGAAAAAAAACTGCTTCGTAAATTACAATTTCTGAGAAAGAAACTACTCAACAACAGTCATTTGAGTATTTGTAATTTGTTACTTTACACCACTGGATATATGTACATCTTATCCCAGCTAACATAAGACCAGCGGGCCACTGGCGGCCCGCCGGCGGCAAAGTCGGCGGTCCACTGGCGGGCGCCGCCCGCGGTCCACCGTCAATTTGCTCATCGTTATTCCAGCGGCCCACCATCGGCTCCCGCCGCTTTTCCGACGGTGGTCCGCCATCGGACCGCTGGTTTTAAATAAGTGTCTGCTGGCGGCCCGCGGTCGGTCCACATGTCATTTTTAAATATTATATTAGCCTTTACAATTGTATTCAATATAATTATGTCCAATAATGAAATCAAGTACAAAATACTTAATCATTATAACATTTATTTATAATACTGCATAACGAACATACATTAAACACTTAATGAAATGTTTCAAAAACACATACGTTAACAAATATAACAAAATAAATATAAAATAAATATAAAATACATACAAATATAATATAACAACATACATACAACAGTTACATTTTACAGTAGTTTTATAAGTAATGTTAATGGTTTAAATATGAACTAATATGAACAATACCTGTACAGCATAATTTATGTACAGCATTTACTAATGCATTAATAAAATCAGTCATGCTTGTTAACATAAGTTAATACATTGCGAGTTAACATGAATAAACAATTAACAACTTTTTACCATTTACCAACATTAGCAAAGATGAATAAATACTGTAATAAATGTATTGTTTATTATGTTAGTAAATACATTAACTAATACATACAACCTTATTGTAAAGTGGTAACCATTCAACGAGTTTCTATAATAAAGACAAACTTTGAGACTTCTCATTATAAAAATAAACTATTAAAAAAATTTGTATTATTTATATTTTAACATTATTATAATTATTTATTATAATATTATATTAAATTATAACATTCTTATGACATTTAACGTTATTATAATTAACATAAAAATAAATTACATTGCGAATAAATATTAACATATTACAATAAATGTAAACGTGCATTATTATTACAAAATCAAACTGTAAAACATCTGGAGGTTATTAATAACTACACTGGGGCAGCACAGTGGCTCAGACTGTCACCTCACAGCAAAAAGGTTGCTGGTATGAGTCCCGGCTGGGTCCGCTGGCATTTCTGTGTGGAGTTTGCATGTTCTCCCTGTTTTGGTGTGGGTTTCCACCACAGTCCAAACACTTGTGCTATAGGTGAATTTGAACATAGTGTAGAAGTGTCTGTGAATACGAGAGTGTATGGGTGTTTCACAGTGCTGGGTTGCAGCTGGAAGGCTGTGTAAAACATATGCCAAAGTAATATCCAGTTCCTTACGCTGTGGCGACCCCTGATATTAAGCTGAAGGAAAATGCAGGTTCTTTTGTCTGCCCCCTCATGATTAGCAGATCCTAATAAAAATGTCTTGGAGGCTCCCTTCCGCTGTCTCTCTTGTAGCAGGCTTCTTTCTTATCCTGAAATAACAGAATCATCAGTCATCATTTTTGTCCATCATCAGTAACTAGATCATTATTGACATTAATGTTTGTATTTTTTATTGGACATCAAGACTGCATTGATTTGATCGATAACATTAATTTACACTTTAAAAGTAACACTGAAATATTTTTACAGTTTAAAATAATGATTTTTAATTTCAATACATTGTAAATGGTCCATTTGAGTATTAATAGACTGTCTGCTTAATATCTGTTGATTCTGCTCCTTCAACAGACATTAACCGACCCTAACCCTAACCCTAACCCTTAATTTACCAAGTACATGTCAACTTACACCAACCCTAACCGCAACCCTAACAGTCTACTTATAATCTAATGAGAATTAGTTGGCATGTAGATGCAATGCACCTTAAATTCAACAAACAGACCATGAAAATAAAATGTGACCATATATTTTATTAATGTGAGGTCAAAGCTGATTTGTTAGCATCATTACTCCAGTGTCAGATGACCCTTCAGAAATCATTCTAATAGGCTAATTTGTTTGATGCAGTTGATATTAATATTAGCATTAATAAAATTAATCATTGGGAATACTTTTAAGTGACACTATAATATTACTTACCTTGAATGAAATCTGGCAAGGAAAAACAAAGTGGTAGAGTGAGTGGAGGACGATCCAAAATCTAGAAAGAAGTAATAAAAATATATATATATTACTAACACATTTTAAGAAATGGATACTTGTATTAAACAAGGGTGCATAAAACAGATCAGAAGAGAGTTAAGATTTCTGATTCAAATACTTTTCAATTTAAACTTTCTATTCAACAATGAATCCTGAAATAACAAAACATGATAAAAATAAGAAATCTTGCTTGAACAGCAGCAAATTATGAATACAATATTACATTTTGGACTGGAGCACTGATGCTGTAAATTCAGCTTTGAGAAAAGCAATGTAAAACATTTTTAAAACCACTCACTTATGTTTGGATGTCAAAACTAAAATAACTGCAATCAAGACATGTATCAGATGCATGATAATGTAGGGATTTCTTATAAAAATGCACATGAATCTATTTAACAGTTAATTATAGTCTTACCTGTGTTTCCTCCAGCTCTGTGATTAGCTCCCCATCTTGGCTCTTTTCTTCTGTCGTAGGGGTAATTTCGTCACTTCTGAAACCACAGAGCACTTTTTAAAATTAATGTTAGTTTACATTACTGTGAAATATTAAAGTAACACATATGTACTAACTTTAACATTTTAATTCGCTCTTGTTGACAGTACAGTGCTTATTTTAGGCTTAATAAAGTAGACTACCTCCAATAAAACATTGTCAAACCTCTCATCTACATATAAAATGTAATTAAAAGCCAACACTTTTATAAACAATAGCTAGCCTAATGCTAACGTTACCTCTGCTAAAACTCTAACGGACTTTTTCCAAAGACACAACAGTCTCTATAAAAAACATGTTCAACAGAAATATGTCAATTACCAGTAAGAAAAGTGTCAGAAACAGTTGTATGTAACATTTGCGTGATTTTAGCGACTAAACTTACCTGAAATTAGTGAAAACTGCCGCATGAGAGAAGTGCTGTTGACGGGCAGGTGTCGTGTCGTTGCTCTGTTTCCATGACAACGCTCTCTGCTGCAGTGCTTGAATGGGGCTCGGTAATGGACACTTTAAAGTCACGCAGCATTTACATAAACATTTAAACAATTCATAAACATATTAAATAATGACATTTAATATTAAATCTTGATTTTTAAACTTAATTTTGTTTTGTTTTAATAATAACCTGTTATATTTAAAACCTCTTGTAGTTTTATTTACTAAACTTTGCTTTTATTAACTATATTTTTATTTAGTGCCTCATTCGTTTAAAATGTAAAAAGTGTTAAACAAAAGTACTTATATCAGGTACAGAACAGCCAACAACATTAAAAACATCACCGGGTCGGCCATCGGTTAGCCACTGGTGTCCAGACGGCGGTCCACCCACGGTAATCCGCTGGTGGCGTGCCACCCAAAAAACGCCGGTGGGCCGACATAACTTTTAGAATGGGCGGCTTGCCGCTGGTAAGCCGACGGCGGTCCGCCCATATCAAGCCGCTGAATTTGTGCCGACCAAAAAACGCTGACGGTCCGCCAACTCATTGTTTGCTGGGTATGATATACTTCTATACAGGCATCAGGTTTTATGCCATCCGAAAGAAAATGCCGCCTTAACAAAGTTAAGCAGCGCGTGTTGACTTTGACAAATATTTTTCCCTATAGCGTCTTTGGTAATTTACTTAAAACACCTAATGTAAAACAACTCTGTATTTAAGGAAAGATAAAAGACCTGGGCGGACGCAGTGCGACCTGTTTTACAGAACACAAAGTTTGTTGCGCGCTGGATTGAAGTTACTTTCATGGATTTGCTAAGTTCATCCACGCGTTTTAGGGATGCCCATTAGCATCTGTGAACATGTGTCATTTAGTTAGTCAGTCGGTGAGAGGGGATCTTCGTTAAGGTGGCCTGTGTGGAGTGGCTCTGCGGGGGAGGTGCTGCTCTGGGCTGCGTTTCCCGATAACGATTGATCTTAGCACTTAAGAGCGTTTTCTACGAGTCATTTTGCGAACGTTCGTTATTGTTTCACGTGCGTTTCCCAAAAATGCACTTAACACAATTGCACGTAGCCCAGCTTTAAGTGCAACTTAGGAGTCGCTATCCGTTTGTTAAGTGCTGAAATGTCACGCTATAGAATGGCTCGTTATTGTTGCACATGTTATAGCAATCCATATAATTCTTCTTCTACTTGTGTGAATGTAGATTCAACTCGAATAACATAAAAAAATATATTTTTGAGCCAGTTTAAAAACATAAATTAACTGGAAATGTCGTACTGTAAAAACACTGTCTTGCTCCAATCTCGCATAAAACTAATTCTAACAGTCCTTGCCGGAAATGACATCAGCATCATTTTCGATATTTATATGAAACCTTAATTAAGTAGAATTATTTATCAATTTCTTTATCAAAAATTGCTTATCTCACATCAAAATAAATAAATAAGTAAATAAATAAATAAATAAATAAATAAGCTCTTACATTTATTTTCGAAAAGTTTAGCCTAATTATCCCCACCTGATGTGCATTTGCTAATAGGACAAAAATATAGCCTACTACCCTCGAAATGTCCATATACAACAGTGTAATTTTTTTTTCATTCTAACATTTATTATGTAATTTTTATTTTTTTCTTTATTCATTATTATTTGTATATTGAATTGTGTAATGTGTAGAAAATATAAATGAATAGAGATATACGTACAAATAAAATGAATAATGACTTTGAAGAGAAGTAAATTGTAGGTGCAATTTGCCGGTTGTCCAGCAGGTGCCCTCATAACTCTGTCTCCTTACGATGCACTTAAGGCTTTACGATTACTCCAGAGCACTCGTAGATCCACTAAGATTTTCAAGTGCTACTTAAGTTACGATGCTTTTGGGAAACAGACCGTAATATTAAGATCAGTCGTACGATCATTTCTACGAACTTCTTAGGCTTACGATGCTTTTGGGAAACGCAGCCCTGATTAATTTGGAAATGTGATAGCGTGTAATTCTCATTACCTTTCGGGGTAATTGCATTTTACGCGGAGCAAATGGGCGAGGCGGCTGAAGATTACTAACAAGCAGATGTTAGTGAAGGAAGACAAGACACCAGCAGCCTGTTTGCTTTCATAGAGCTCAATCTGGGGTCCAAATTACTGGGTCGTTGCAATACTGAAACTTTATTCACTGAAAGTTTGAAACTTACCTAAAGATGTGTTGGTTTGTTCACCAGTTTGTTGAATTTAACTGGGGCGCGAAGACAGCCAAAATGCACCTAGAATAAATCAGTAATTTATAATGAATACAAATATTTCAAGTAAACTAAATTAAATTAAACTGTATAAATAAAAAAATAACTTCTATACTAATCACTACTGTTGATGTAAAATAAAAATGGTTATTTGTTGCACAAAATTAATATAACGAATCAATATAACGGACAAACAAATAAACAAGTGGCAAATATGAATATTCATAAACCAGCTTCACTCCATATCGTTCCAGCTCAAAAAATCCCTTGGAAAACATTGCAACAGAAAGCGCAATCTGCCATCCAGCTGCTGGCGTTTAGTTATGTATTCCACCTAATACTCCTTTATTTATTCCCCCATCTCGCAGCTTCTTCTCTTTCTGCATATATTCTGTAGTGCACGACTTTAAATGCGTTTTCTGCATTCTAAATAAATGATCTCATCCTTGAAGCCTAAAAAAACATGAAGGTAGTTTTTCCCCTGAATGAATCCGATATGCTTTATGAAAGTTAATAGGGAATTCTACCAGGTCTCATTTGGAAAACAGTCCAATAGCAGAACCGTTGGGGTGACATGTAAAGGTGGTCACGGAGAAGAGAAAAAATGAGGCTATTCTAAAGATCCAAATTACTGATAATATTTTGCGACATGAAAAATTTTTGCGACATTATTTCCAACACAATTAGCTTCTTCATAATTTCTTTTTAATTTTCTGCATCTTTTTTCACGCAAACGAACATTACAACATATTGGCTAAGTGCTCAAAAGTTCAGCATGTATGAATTAGTTTTTTGCTTTTTAGATTTAATTTCAAATTTAACAAATCAATAATGCGAATTCACGAAAGAAGACTGAAAAAACTAATTCTTCAGATAATTTCATGCTTTAAAATATTTCAAGAAACTAAAATTTAGGTTTGAAGAATGAATCGAGTTGGCTAATTTATCAGTATATTGAATATAAGCTGTATTACAAAACATTCTAATTTCAGTAAATCTGCCTCACAGAGATTACGCTCCGACTATATAAATTGTTGAACATTCTCTTTCTTTAGACCATCTTTGTTTCAGTTTTGTTTCAGTCCACAACAAAATAAATGGTGTCAGTCTGAGCATTCTCTGTTTGTTCTCGAATTAGTGATTATTTGTTTCCCAAAATACGCAAACACTAATGCGAACTAAAATAAAAAATTAAATAAAAAAAAATATTAAATAGATTTTTAGGTGTTTTTATTTTAAAAAATAGATGATAGATGGATAGATAGATAGATAGATAGATAGATAGATAGATAGATAGATAGATAGATAGATAGATAGATAGATAGATAGATAGATAGATAGATAGATAGATAGATAGATAGATAGATAGATAGATAGATAGATAGATAGATGATGCTAAAGGATGTGAGCTGTGTGGGTTTGCATAATGAAAAAAGTTAATGAAACACAAACAAGTAAATCATTTTAAAACATTTATTTAACAGTTAGGACTCAAACATTCACCGCACATTAATTTGAAAATACCATCGAAATAAGTAAATAAATAGCATTTTGCACTTTATTATAAAAAAATAAAAGTTGATCATTCTTCGCATCGGTAATGACGGATAAGCTTGTGCAGAAAGAAGAAATAACTATCAATTATGAAGTAAGGAGAAGGGAAGAAATGCAAATGTAGAAATATATTGTGCAGGAATGAACAGGTGCTTCTTTACAAAGAGCGCTTGGCAAATGAATTCTTGCCCCAAACATAAACTGGGGAAGGAATATAAAATCTCTCAAACTGTACAAACGCTATCTACATATTTACAACCATTATGTTTTCAAGGACATTTTTATTAATAGTAGTGGCCCATCAAACTACTTAGCCCTATTTAACTAAAGCATGAATCGGCTTTATTTTACTTTGTGCTGTAATTCTATTTCACATTAGACTTGTTCTTTCAGTCCTATAGTCGAGGGCTAAGGAAGGTTTGCCATTTCCAACTAAATCTATACACAGAAATGCTAAAGTGTTAGAAAACTCTATGTTAGTGGCTTTGATCCATTCTTCTTTGCTTCAGCTCTATTTGATTCCCACAACACATTGTTTAGTCATAAACCATAAACACGATATTACAGTTTTTTATATATATATATAAAAGTCTGTGGTGGCTTCTCAAAGTTCTTTTACAAAAGTTCACTTTATTTTGAGTCACTGGTCAGCCGTGGCATGCTGACGGCGCTCATACCGGGAACGTGAGACGGAGGCACCTGGCACATGCTACACGGACAAGGGATCCCCGCACCCCAGTGCTGGAAACCCGCGCCCAGAGGCCCAGCGCCGGCTGACGGGGCTTTGAGGAGTCCGTGATGCGGCCTGACGGCTGAAAGCCCCGTCCCGGAAAGAGATGCTGCGGTGGAGACTGCTGGTGGAAGCAGAGGATGGTGCACCGGGTGAGAGGAATGCGAGACAGCAGCGGGGTGACCCGGTAACGGAGCCGCCGCCGCGTGCGTAAGAGTGCCACAACTGGACGGATGGAAACCGGCGTGATGGGCCCCGCTCCCTCCGCCGTAGATCTCGCTCACGAGCCGCTTCATCTCCTCCAGCGAGTTGCTCAGCATAAGGATGTAGTTGCGCGCGAGCAGCAGAGTGGCTATTTTAGAGAGCTTGCGCACAGACGGCCCGTGAGCGTAGGGCATGACCTCCCGGAGCCCGTCCATGGCGATGTTAAGGTCGTGCATGCGCTTCCTCTCGCGGCTGTTGATCTTTAGGCGCATGCTCTGCAGCTCATTCTCGGAGAGAAGTTTACGGTCCTTTTTGGAGAGCATCTTTAGAGCCATTGAGTCCTCCTCAGCGCTGGAGATGCCCCGCAGATCTGCACCTCTTAACTCCGGTGGAGAATCGCTCTGCGTGGAGGAGACGGCGCCGGAGAAACCCACGGACTTCTTGACGGCGGACAGAAAAAGATCATCGCCTTCAGGAGAAGAAGGTCTGCTGGACACTCGGCTCGTGTCAGAGTCCATGGCGTTCAGTGCGCTCTCAGTTTCTCGAGGATGTCGATATTCCCTAAAAAGAAAGCACTTATTAAACCCAACAAAACTAAGATGCAACGAAAAACACTTAATATGGAATTAAAAACTAATTAAAAAGCATTAATTTGTTATAAATGTAGGGAAGCAGATTTAATATGGAGATTAATAACAACTCGGCAACTCCACAAAGTTTACTAAAGCTGTTTAAATTTGAGCCAAACTGTTCAATAATTTAGTTGCGACAAACTATAATAATTATGACAAAGTTATAATTATAAAGTTATTATTTTTTAAAGTAGTAATGTAACTAACAGTATCCTACAACAAATTTCTACACTAAATAATTGAAGGGAAATCATGTAACAGCCAAAATAACGCAGACGTTAACTAATAGTATTTTTTTAAATACTTTATACAAGTAAAATCATTGCATACATTTTCTATATATTCTGACTTACCGGTAGCAGGTGCAAGCGCGTGCTGGTGTGTGGCTTTGCAGAATTGACTTGTAAGGCTATTCCAGTTCACTCGTGCAGTGTTTGTGTTTGGCACGCCCGAGAGTGACGACGGGTGTTTTATAGGCGGTCCCTCCTCCCCACCACCCGGGGGCAAGTCACCGGGACAATGTCAACGCTTTTCCGACAGCCCGTCAAGAACCAATGAGCTCCAGTGGGGGGGTCCTAAAACCTGATGTCACTGCAAAAAACTGAGGCATCATTAAATGCATTAGACACACTTCGCATATGGTGCATCCTCACAAAACATCGTTGCGGTTTAGATTACAGAAAGTCGGTTGAACAAACTGTGCAATCTGTACTGAAGTTATTAAGTTAAGTTGGGTGGCGCATATGTTGGCAAATAACTTTCAGGCTAGTGAAAAACTTTTGTTTTATCCCTATTAACTGTTTAAGCTGCAAAAGCACTGCAGGTTGAATCAGGCCTAACAAATAAAAAAGAGGATTCAGAGGAAATTTTATATTTGAATAATTTACTAAACAAAATCTTAATATTTATTATATTATTATTTACAACATCAGATATTAGACTATGTTTAAGTTGGCAAATTTTTATTATTATTATTATTATTATTATTATTATTATTATTATTATTATTATTGTTATTATTATTATTATTATTATTATTATTATATTATTATTATTATAACTATTATTATTATTATTATTATTATTATTATTGCGTATTATTTATTTATCTGAAATATTCTTTATAAGTTATTTTCTTATTATAGATTGTTAATTTGACCTTTTACTTTTTTAATGAATCATCCGCGCAGCTCAATAATCAATAACCAAAAATAGGTTGTCTGACGCGTGGATAGATGGATGCCGATGCAAGATTTTCTCCGTGGTCGTGATCGTCTCTTGCCGGATTGCCCGCGGTTGTTGCAGACAGTTTTGCGGTCTGAATGCGCGCATATTGTTTTAACCCGGTGACCCCATGCGGACGCCTGACAGCTGACTGATCTCAGCCGTTAAACGCATTTAAAACGTTACTAAACGAGGCGTGCAAAATGCTTTTTAACGGTTATGATCTGAAACATTTCAATTAGGCCAATATGGTCAAGCAGAAGTTGTTTGGGGTAAAAGATGGCATAAGTAGGGGATGTCAAATGCGCATATTTATGAGCATAATTTACATGCCCCTTAACCTATATTTAGCAGATATCTGCAGCTGTTCATGTTGATATATTTAGGGAAAAACAGACAGAAAGACAAAGAAAATTGATCAAAAAGCTCTGGCAATCAGTGGATTGTTCTCTTGCTCCACAGGTGTAGATTTAACAGAGACGCGTCAATGAGTTTTGGAGACAGAATTCTGCATCATCAGATCAAGGTCTTTAACATATTTTCATTGAAGCATCTATGAGCTCTTGTTGTTTGGTTGTTATCCCCGTGCGGACAGTCCCGTCTGTCTGTTTGCTTGTTTACTCTCGTTAAATACGCTTATGCAAATGAGCTGGTTTAAAACCGGCGGTGTCGGAGAGAAGTTGTAGTTCAGTTCCTTCATTATGAATTCCGGTAATCTCACTTGTTAAGTGTACCAAAATGGTAATATATGCCGCGACAGTCTGGATTAGAAACGGGGGGTGACAGAAAAGAGCCCTATTGTCAGAGCTGCAGTTTATTCCTCGCGCATATAATTATGTGAAATGTCACCCAGGGAAGAATGCACACGAATTCACACGCACCCCACACACAACACACGCTGACTGACAACTGTCTTGGGAGCAATTACAGAGAGAGGAAGACAGGGGTCGGTCTGCCCTCGATTCATCCCAACTTTGGTAACCGTAGTCCGCCGAGAATGTTGCCAATTAAGGCTAATTAAGAGCGTGCATGCCTGACGTCATTACCTCTTGATTCAGATCAGACTGAGGCGGCGATAAAGATGCACACTTATTTTTACAGACCTGCTTCAACAAGACTGGAGTCTGGCCACATCACAGAGAGATTACATAAGTATACTAAAGCTGGTAACACCTTAACAGTACATAAATAATAATGTTTTAATATGTAAACTAAACATTACTTTATTATGAATTAATGATGAGTTGCGGTGTGCACTACTCATGACTTTAACTGCAACACGAGTCACATGGCTGTGAATAATGACTACCTTCTTAGTACATGTTGTTAATTAATGTATCAATGAACATTTACGTTTAAGCTAAATGTAACAAACATGAACTCATGATTTGTTAATGTATTATCATGACATGACTTTACTTGGAGGGGCACATCACCATTAACCCATCCTTAACTTTTCATGAACTCCTGTGTTTAAACGTTTGATGTTGGCAGAACACTTTTCTGTTGTTATTCAGTGTAAACACACTATTGGATGTGCATAAGGAGTTCATGAGTAGTTAAGAATGGGTTAATGATGATGTGACCCTCCAAGTAAAGTCATGACAATTATACAGTAACATATCATGAGTTCATGATGTTTAAATTAAGCATAAACGAATGTGGTAATTAATGCACAAATTAACACACAATCATATACTAACAAGTAATTATCACTCATGTGACTCATGCTGTTAAAGCTAGTTCATGAATAGGGCACACCTTAACTCATCATTCATTCGTAATAATGTTTAGTTTACATATTAATATGTCATTATTCATCTACTGTTATTGTAAAATGTTTCCCGAAAGCCTAATGAGGTAGGTAGTTGTGTGTTTTGTGGAGCAGTTTCAAGCAATTGTAATTAAAGGGATAGTTCACCCAAAATTTACTCACTCAAGTGGTTCCAAACCTTTATGATTTCTTTCCTCTGTTGAACACACTCAATAATATATATTTTAAAGAAAGCTGAAAACCTGTAAACATCAACTTCTACATTAGGAAAAACAAATTCTTTGAAAGTCAGTGGTTAAAGGTTTCTTTTTTAAAAGATTTATTTATCAGATTTTTATAACAGTTAACAAACAAAAGTAGCAGAGAAAATAACAGTACAAATAGAAAAAAATAAAAACAAAAATATATAACAGTACAAAATTGATTAACCTTCCTGTCGTTTTTGGGTCAAATCTGACCAATTTACAACTTAAAACACTCTAAAACAATATCTTTTGTATTGCCTCAATATCCTCCACACTATTCATTTGAACATATGAAAGTGATGATCACATCTTTCATTGAATTTTTAGTGGTTTAGTCAACCTTGTTACACCTGTGGTATTCCCGGTCAAAAGTGACTGCCATAGGAAATGAATGGGAATCCAGACTATATTCATCCATCAGACAGAAAACTAACTAACTAACTAACTAACTAACTCACTCACTCACTCACTCACTCACTCACTCACTCACTCACTCACCCACCCACCCACTCACCCATTCACTCACTCACTCACTCACTCACTCACTCACTCACTCACTCACTCACTCACTCACTCACTCACTCACTCACTCACTCACTCGATATTTGTAATTTCACTGCAGATATTTTATGTTAAATTCAATACATCTATGTTAAACACTTCTTTGAGACATTGTTCACAGCAAAAGAATGTTGAATAAAAATTTTATTTTGAAAAATGTTGCTGTGCTATATTTATTAGCACTTAAAACAATGGGTCACTTATGACCGGAAAGACTACAGTATAAGGGGCGGGACTTGAACACAACAGGAGGATTAAAAGAATAAATATAAACCCCACTATGATCCTCATATTGCACACAGAATATGATATGCATAAACAATATATGTTGTGCATTGATTTTACAAATTAAGCATATAAACTGGTCAGTACTGAAAGTTTACGTTGGCAGTATGGTGTATTAGGTAAAATAAACAATGATAATAAAAGAAAACAGAAAAAATGAAAAGAGAGAGAAAAGGGGAAATATATTCAACTGAATTGGCTGGGGGGGGGCATGTTCTTCAAAGTTGTGGATTTATGTCAAGAAGAGTTGCATGCTAGCGCTATATCAGCACTAGTACTAATTTGGAAGGTACAAACTATAAGTGAAAGATGGGCAACTATTCTTTCAACAGTAACTGCTTCAAGTTTCAGAGATTTGACATGCTCCAAGAATGGTAACCAATTGTTAAAAAACTTGATCATTTGAAGACTATATTTAATTTTTTGGTTAAAGGTTTCTTTATTCAAAATATCTTCTTTTTATTTCAACAGAAGAAAGTAGAATAGTAAAAGGGCTGTAAATGATGGCAGAATTTTCATTGCCAGTTTCATTTGCAGAACATTTCAGTCTAAACTATTGTCCATGTTCCACATCACTGCCAGGTCACAGACAGCATTTTACAGCTTATTCAAACTTCACAGTTCAGGTGCACAAAATTAAATCAACTGAAATCACAAAAAATACAGAATTGGCAACATTTTATGCCATTTAATTAAAAGCTATTTATTTAATAAGGGCCTGCCACAGGGAAAGAGGCAAACGTTCCACACGAGAGCTTTTGCCACCTCAGGGTAAATGAATGTTAGCCTGGTGGTTGAGTGTGGAGGGAGACTGAGTGCTTATTTCTGCCTGTTGGCAAAGCCAGGCTCTTCTTTTCTCATTACCTTTATGAGATAATGAGGTGTTCGCATGTGCATTCCAATAATGAGGTGGGCAGAGGTGTGTATATGTGTAAAAACTGTTAACCCTAAGAGCTAAATTAGCCAGCGCTGTAACTGCAGTCATACTTAAGTTAATGAATCCAGCTGGAGTTCACTTTCAGCTTTTTCTGCACGATTAACCCATAACATAAGCACGTTACTTTACAGAATCAAAATGTATGCTTCTGCATGTATTCAATGTGCATCTGACACTCATGTCACATGCAGCATCAACATTTTATGCTGTTCTGTTAAGAAAATAATACAATTGTATTTTATATATATATACATATATATATAATTATATATAATATAATTATATATATATATATATATATAAATATATATATATATATATATATATATATATATATATATATATATATATATATAGCCTGATTAAACCAACCCAGGGTTAGCCAATAATCTAAAACCACC